GGACTCTAAATCCTGACTGAAAATCCTCAAACAAATCATTCTTGTGCAAGTGGTCACATAACTGCTTAGCAACAGCAATAAAGGGAAGACTGGATATTGATCTATAATTAGCCAGAACACCTGGGTCAAGAGTGTACTGTATGTGTTAATATTGTTTTTTGTTAGTTGTACATCTGATACATATTGACAGTATTTGTACTAAATGTTTTGTGTTGTTTCAGCATTTGCACACACTGATATTCTCTGTACATGGTTGTTTGCAGTAGCGGCAGGTTTGGAGCCTGCTTCCTGCCGGCTCTCTGTAAACAGAGTGATCTTCAGGTGTTTGCTGCTCGACCTGGACTCAGACTGTGGAGGTCAGACATCAGAGGACAGGTGGAGGACACAAGACTGCTCAAACCACTCTTTAACGCGCAGGTACACTGAGAACACTAGGAACATAGTGTTAAAATATACATGTAGTACTGTTTATTACTAAACCAGATGTTAACAGCCACTACTGATGGAGCCACATGGCACAAACACTTTTTCTGTTACTGTTTATCATTACAGCTGCCATTGTTGGACCTCTTAAATAGTATACGTAGTAGGGTTGTAAAGGTACACATTCACAATGAGCTGTTACAGTACAGGACTTTCGGTTTGGTGAAGTCTTTAATATTTGTTAAAGAGCCCGTCGCATTCTCATTTCCAGCAATTTAATGTTTAATATTGGGTACCTCCAGATTATCTTGGCACCCCTCATAACTCTAAATATTCTGTAATTATTTCAGAACAATGAAACCAGAGATCCTCTTCCTAAAAACGAGAGGATAGTTCGTGAACGCGCCCAACTCCTGTTGTCAATGTTGTGTCCCAAATTGACAGCACAATGAACTGCAACATCATTAATTAATCTGAATGTCTCCTCCATAGATAGATGAACATCGTTATATGTACCAATGAAAAGAGATGTGTAACAGTCTAAACAAAGCGGGTAGTTGAGAAACCCCATGTTTTAACTGGCATAATGCAGACATAGTAACTTTTCCAGCCTTATGAAAATTTTCTCTATCGTTACAGAAACAGATGCAGCATGTGTTTTTTAAACTTACCGTTAAGTCCCACCAAGTAGTGGAAACACTGCTCCCTTCCAAGTAGCTCTAAGGTCAGTAAATCAAACCGGTGGTCACTGCGTCTTCCCCCACGCGACCACATACAGTCCTAAAGTAGTGAAATCAATTCCAACAGGTAGCGTAGCACTGACAATAACATCATGGGTTGTTAATCCACCAGTTAACCAGCAACACATCACATGCGGCAGACACATTGGCCTCAGGCAGAACAAACAGGTACTGTGCTCCAGGGGGAATCCAGCGTTGATCAGCTGATCACTAACCTCTTCGGGTTAGGGTTAGGGTTCTTCGGGGGCTTCACAGGCCGGCTGCTTGTAGGTTAGACCCGGTCAGGTAAAACAGCGAGTCCCTGTACAGGAACATTCCCAGACATGCAGTAACCTCAGGTCCTGTATTTTGCTCCACATCCTCTGGTCACAGTGCAGCAGCAGGAGGAGGGAAAACATATCCACAAAACCACAATGGCACCGGAGGATGTCTTTTTTTGGTATTTATTTAAATAAGCTTTATTGAAAATATACATGGCGAACAAGGCAGTATAACATTTTGCCAGTATGGTGGGGGCACCAGTGGATGTCAGGCAAGCTCACATGAACACGCAACGGCCTGGAGATTATGACCATTCAAGGAAATCCTTAAACTGTCGCTTCATACTTTATTTTGTTGTAAAAAAAGTCTCACGAGCGAGAGTTTGCAAGACGTGTATAAACTGAGCTGCTTCTGCATAGAAATACTAGAACATACGTACACCTCATTTTTTAGCTTTAGGTCACGTCTAAGATGATAATTCACCGTTGGGCAATGGGCCCTTTAAATATCCTCTCCAGAGACATGGTAATATTTATATTTACATATAAAATACCCTGATATAAACAATATATAATCTAATAGAGTCTTTCCTCAAAAAAGGTTCACTGAACCTCTGCAAAGGGCCTCAATACACATCTGGTCTTTGCCTGCCATTGTGAATTCCAGGATTTCTTAATATTTAAATCTATTGAAATATGCCTACCTGTCTGTCCACTGATCTACTCACGTACCTTTCTCTCTCTCTCTCTTCCAGATCCCTCAGTTTGAGTTGTTTCCTCGTCCTGGTCCAATTGGAGCATGTCGTCCAGCAGACCAACAGATTGGTCTGCTCAGCTGTTTCCTCAGAGATGGCTGGATCCTCAGCTGGAACGAGTACAGCATCTATGTCCTCGACTATCTCAATGAGGTACAAACTAGGGGAGAGAGGAGAAACAAAGGTAGTGACATGTAATGGTGGCATATAAATACATGGAGAGGAGCTCAGAGCAGCCCAGGAGGACCCCAGCAGTCTAGGCCTATAGCAGCAAAACTAAGAGAAGGCTCAGGGTCACCTGAGCCAGCCCCAACTATATTAAATTCAATTCAGTTTTATTTGTATAGTGCCAAATCAAGACAAAAGTCGTCTCAGGACCCCAACCAGTCGAGGCAGAAGGCTACCCACCAAGAGCCAGGGGTCTGTCGGAGGTTTCTTCCAGTAAAGGGAGTTTTTCCTTCCCACTTTCAACAAGTGGCATTTGTTTGGTTTTCCTCTATAATATTAGTAATACTAAGGTCTAGACCTTACTGTGTAAAGTGTCCTGAGACAACTTTTGTTGCAATTTGGCGCTATACAATTAAAATTAAATATAAATAAATTGAACTTTCCAGTCCTCGTTAAATTAGCATAATGCCAGTAGAGGGCGTTGTGCAGTGATTTTTAAGCATACAATATGTGCAAGAATGAGTAAATTCCAGTAAAGGCAACTTTGACCTTACAGTTTGATATGTCATCAGTTTTGTATTTGATATATTCAGGTTATAATCGGCGCACTGGAGAGCAGTGGAGATATCGTATCAGTGTCGTGTTGTGAAAATGAGATCTTCATCCTGAAAGGAGACAGAGACATCATCCGCCTCTCCAACAGCCCAGAGGGTCTGGCCTCCAACTGTGAGTACTACTACTGCTGCCACTACTGCTAGTCTGCTACTACTAGGTTTAGTTTGGGCTGTCACAACATTTGTTCAAATTAATTTCAATGCTGATTTAAGTGCAGCCTCACATAAATCAGCCTGTCATGACAGACTGCAGGTGAGTCCTCAGACATGTTGTTTTACTTGAGTAGGCATCTGCTTTTTTGCAGAGTCGGCAAACTGCTTACCTTGGCACCGCTCAGATGTCATTATTTTCCGATCAGCACAACTTTGCTCGCTACCATCCCGCGTTTTGTCCTTGCAAACATAACATTACTAGTTCACTTTACTGAGAGGTCTACAAGACAGCAGCTGGACAAGCTGATGGTGAGTTTTAAGAACATTCCCTGCTGGACCACAAGGCAGATTACATCAACCGGCATGTTGCACTTATTGACATACCGTACATTGTTGAATTCGAGCAGGCCATCGAAGGTTCAAATGTTTGAAATTTCAGTAAAAGTGACAGTCCTGTTAATAGTGCCACTACTGCTACCACCACCCAAACCCTGAGGACAACAACACACTGAATGACAGTGACCTTCAGAATGATTATCAAGCTGTCTGCTTTTATCCTTCAGTGTCGGAGCTCTCTGTCCGTCTGTCCTCACCTTTGACTACGCCCACCATCGTTCCACCAACCGGGTCAGTGGAAACAGCTCAGCCGATCAGAACTGTGGCCCTCATTGTAGAGAGTGGGGGGAGGGAGGAGGGAAGAGGAGGAGGGGAGAGACTCTGTGAGGAGGGAGAGAAAGAAGAAGAGGAGGAGGAAGGAGTAGAGGAAGTGGAAGAGGCAGAAGAGCAGGAGGAGCAGCTGGAGGTGAGTAACAATCCAAGACACCACTCAAGGCTGGTTAACAGGTTAACATTTTAACCATACCAGTGGTTTCTAGTCAATGAGATGGCCTTTGTCTGTACCCATCTAGTGGTGCCTCTGAAATTATCGCAATTTAATGAAATTATTGCCATGCATTTTAGGATATGTTTGGTTTAGTTTGTTTGAGTGTCCGCTCTCTCTCCCTGTACCTTCCTGCAGTTATCCCTGGCTCTGGAGCTCTATGTTTCTGATGAGTAGTTGGTGTTTGTCTGTTTGTTGTTGTGTTTGTTGTGTCCCGTTGCTTTTCTTCTTTTTTCTCTCCTCTATCCACTCACCACAACCGGTCAAGCAGAAGCCGCCCACCAAGAGCCAGGGTCTTTCAGAGGTTTCTTACCTTAAAGGGAGTTTTTCCTCCCCGCTGTGGCCAAGTGCTGCTCAGGGGGATTTGTTGGGTTTTCCTTTATAATACTGTAAGGCCTGACCTGACTATGTAGAGTGCCTTGTGATGAATGTTGTTGTGAATTGGCTTTATACAAATAAACTGAACTGAAGTGAACTTGCACACTGGTTGCCTGGTTGACGTGTTGACTTACAGACTCATTTTCATACTGTAGTGAATGTTAACTGTTATTGTTGTGTTTGTGCTGGTGTTGGAGCAGCTCTGCCAGTGGTCTGGTTTGGTAACCAGCAGCTCCTGTAGTCGTAGCAGCTCTGTCACTTCCTGGGACAGTGTCCATGGACGTGCCCCGGTGACTGTATCCTGTGAGCTGACCAGACGCTACAGCGCCCCCCTTGGTCAGGATGAGATGCAGCAGGAGCTGGTAGTGAAAGCCATCAGGGTGAAAAAGAAGAAGAGGAGACAGCAAAGCAAGTAGACTGACTGACTTTGTGGCTGACTGATTGACTTTGTGGCTGACTGACTTACTGTCCTGTGTCTTCCTGTCTGTCTTCAGACAGCAGCAGTGGGAACCATCTCTCAGAGTGTAGCTGTTCAGACTCCATGTTTATAGTCCCAGACAGCAGCTGTAGTGACGGAGGGAGTGGAACTCCTCTGAGTGACCAAGCCTCCCTCATCGGGCTGGATCTTCACAACCAGGGCTCTCCAGAACAGGACCAAGACTCACAGAAGGCAGGAAGGGGAGGTTTAGCCAGAGGTGTAAAGAATGGAGAGGAGGTGGACTCTTCCCCCAGCCAGTCTGGGTTAGTTTAAACACCAGTAGACTGAAAGTATTGTGTATCACCTTTGTCTCCTGCTGACCCATTTGTCACATCTTTGTTGTGTTGCCTCAGCTCTCTCGTCCTAGGGTCCCTGGTCCTTCAGGGTCTAGAGACCCAGCTGAACCCAGGAATGTCCTCTGGTCCTGGTCTAGAGACAGAGGTTGTCCCTTCAACCCCAGATGTAGATCTGCTGCTGGAGTGCACCTTCTCCTACATGCACAACACTGAGGAGGAGCAGGCTGGACAGGAGCAGCAGCCAATGGAGGACCAAGAGGAGGAGTTTCTGAGTCCTCTGACTGGAACAGAGGAGGAGGTGTGTTGATGGTGGAGTTTGTGTTACATCTACATGATCATAAAGAAATTATATGTAACTATCAGGTGACCACTGGTCATAAAGTTTACACTGATTTGAAATCAAATTAATTTTCTTTGTGAGTATTTAACTTTCAAACAGGTAAACTCATCATTTTCCCCTGATAACAGTTACTTATTACCATCTACCACTTCTGAAACAAACACTGGAGCCCTCAGTTAACAACTGCAGAACTTCTCTTTATTTCCATGACATCCATGAACCATGCCTTTTCAGCCAAAAGTCTGCTTATCTCATTCAGAGCAATCTCCTCAAAGCTATTAGTCTGGATTCAGTACAGTCCTCACAGTGACATTGAGCAAACTCCCTCTCCTCTAACTGCATATTCTTATACCTTTCTGGTTCTTGTAGTCCAGGCTGTGGTCACATGACTAGAACAGAATAAGAATCTATAGAAACACTATAAATAATGTTCCAATATTAAAGAAAGACTAAGAATACCAATTAGCACAGTTGTACTATAAGGGTCTTATTCAGTGACTATATTTTTCTCCTTTGTGTGATGATGAAGAAACTGTTGAACACGTGTATAAAAAATAAAAAATCCAACAGCTTGCGCTGCCACAGTGGAGAGGAGTTCAGCTTAAAGGCAGATGTTCATTTATAATCATTGGGCATATCTGACAGTGTCTATCGTTTTTCTAATAGAAGACCGATTATCATCACATAGTGTTATTCTGAGCTGCACTGATGGAGCCTGTAAAAAACATGGATACATTCAGTTAGCCATGAGGTCACTTAGCTGTTAGCAGGAGTTAGCCATTTAGCTCTGGAGATTCCACATGATCAGGAGGAGAGAAGCACTGGTTTGGAGCCTCTTTGGGCCAGAGTCAAGCAGGGTCCGGAGTTCAGTTCAATTCAGTTCAACTTAATTTTATTTGTATAGCGCCAAATCACAGCAAAAGTCATCTCAGGACACTGAGATCACATTCTGGTGTGATTGCAGAGTTTGGTCTATACATTGAGGGTAGTTTGCATGGCTGTCTTTAGCTGAAGAGGGAGCAGGGCAAGGTTCTGTCTTGCTTCTCAATGCCTAGAATCAACGCTTATTTATTAATTATGAATATTCTGAGTCCCTCAGAATAAAACATCTCGTCTAAATGTCTGCTTTGGACTTGTGGACACTACAATATAAATATCTATTTATTATTGTTCACATTAATGTCAGGATCCAGTAGGAATGATCCCTCAGTGTTTCCAGTGATCTGATTGGTCAGTGGTCAGGCTGTTAGCAGATTTCGTTCTATCCCTCTAAAGTCAACCGGCTCTGGAGCAGGTTAGCTTTGCAGCATCAGTTACCACGGTGATCTAGCCCAATTAAAAGTGAGTCAGCTTTGTGTTACCAGAAAACCTGAGATAAGCCCACAGTTAGCCGGAGAAGCCACTAATCTCATTTTGTGGTACAGAGGCCCCTCATCGTGTCCTATTCTCAAACCTGCCCGGTCCTCTGTGCCAAGACATCAACCTGACAATATCTTGGTGGTGCCAGCTTGGACAGCAAGGAACCTGAGAGCAACCCTGATGGTGTCATTCTTGCCAAACATGGCAGCAGCAGCTCTTTTAGATCTGTACGACACCAGGATGTTTTACCCCCTCCTGATTCATCATTTCCAACGTAAACTACTGACACTCCTCCTTCTTCAGAGCCCCCTCGTCTGCTGCCAGGCCTCTGCCACTCCCTAGACCACTGCTAGTGGTACTTAATAGCCTCTAATTCTGTTTTGGGGTAAAGCATCAGCAGAATGTAATTAGATATTACATTGCCTCTATGTTTGTGTACAGGAGGATGACCTGGTGCCCCTTGCTGGTGTGGCAGACCAGATGTTTTACTCTACTGTGTCCAGCCTGGACAGAAAACCCAGTATGTCCAGTGATGAGGAAGGAGACATCTACTGTCAGACCCTTCCCCCTGCTGGCAGTGGAGGAGATGTCCACACTGGGCTGACCAATCAGAAGGAGAAGATGACAGATAGCCAGGATGCTCAGGACAGAGACAGACTCAAACCTGACCAGGTGAGGCAAACACTGATGAGGTACACACAGACCAGGTCAGTGAGCAGGATTTAATATTGTCATATTTTCTATTTCTAGTTGGCAGAATGCTGGATGGGATACTCAGGACCGGGTTGTGGAATAGTAAGCCTACAGGTGACTGACAGGTGCGTCAGCAGGTGACTCTCAGGTGACCAAAGTGTGACCTGTGTATTTCAAGTGTGTGAGGTATCTGAACTTTAAAAATGACTGTGATCAGGTGAGTCACAGGTGTCTGACAGGTATCTTACAGGTGATATGTGTGTTTCAGGTATGTGTGGTGCCTAGACTTTAAAGGAGGACTGTTCTGCAGCAGTCTGCCTGAAACCGGACTCAGTTGGCAGCGCTTTGAAGACAACGTCCACCAGGTGGCGTTATCACCATCAGGTGAGCTGCTGACATCACTCAGGACAGATCCACCTGTTGGAAAACAGTTCATTAATGATGTCAAACTGGCTCTTTTTATACATAGTTACAATTTGTGGTGCAGTTTTTTGCTTGTCTAAACAAAATGTTAATTATCTGCAGCTTTCTGTCAAAGCAGACAGCAGGTTCTCAGGTGTATGTACAGTTGTATGCAGCATTAGTTGGATGCTAACTGTTGCTAACTCCATCAGGTAATCTCCTGTGGAAGGTGGAGCAGAAGAGCATGACGGCATTTGCATGTGCTAAAGTGTCGGTTAAAGGAAAACGCCACTGGTACAAAGCTGTAGAGCAAACAGCCTTTGTTGCTCTGAGTGATGACTCTGCTTGGATCGTCAGGACTAATGGTGACCTCTTCCTGCAGACAGGTAACACACCACCTGTCTGATTGAATGATGTTTAGAGTAAACAGATACAGAGGGGTTTAAAGTTCACTTTTCTGAGTGTGCTACTGAATAACAATAGCCTGTAGAAAGAAAAGAGACAAATTAAAATCCCAAATGAAATGCCAACCTACAATTTCTGAACAAGCTGAAATCTGAAATTATTGGCAAAGTATGTCTCTCATAACAGGAATTTGACTTGGATCTCTAGGAGCCTTGAATGTACTCACACTCTCACACAGTACTGTTAACAATGTTAAAGAGACATCTGAAAAAAAACAGAAAAAAATCAACTGGACTTGGTTTTTGGGTAGAAGACGTTTCACCTCTCATCCGTCTCAAACATCTTCTACCTAAAACCAAGTCCAGTTGATTTTTTTTCAGCTTACTATGGCCTAGATGACTGAGAATTTGCAAGGACAAGAGACAGACATGGATAGTGAAAACAAGGATGACAACAAATCAGCTTCCAGTTTGTCATCCAATGACAGATGGAGGCTGGCACTGGGAGCTTGGCTAGTTTAGACCGGAGGACTGATTGACTGGTTCACCCTCTGTGTGACCAGCAGGGGGCATCCTGGTGCTGTTTGGTTTAAACTGATTCCAGACCTGAAGGGACAGGAAGCTCAGTCCACCTGTGCTTTAACTTATTTTCATTTTACTAATCAGATGTGACACCAGCAGAAAACATGAAAAGGCACAAAGCCAGAATGGCGGGCCATTATCGGTCTGCTTCTGGCCCACTTTGGGAAGTAGTACCAGAGGTGAAACAAAGGGGACACGCGCTCTATGCAGAAAGGGTGAGTGGGCAATCCGGAACCAAGTGCTACATTTTGATGACGTCATATGTGCACAACACTATCACCGGAAGAAAACGAAGAAAGCAGCTTGGCAGCATTTGTGTGCTTTTTTACAATGCCAGTCTAGTTTCTAAAAAAAAACAACAACAAAAAGAAAAGGATGCCCATTTGGGAGACAAGATCTGAGAACTTCTAGCTCTTTGGGCAAAAGACAAAATCAGTCGGTACCTTAGGGTTAGGTGTTAGACTATCAGCACAAAATTTTCATCACAGATGATGCAGAGTGACCTCGCGTCTCGCCTCTAGTGCTGAGTGCTGGCCTGCTGTCTGAATTCACAGGCTTGCCGCGATTGTGTCGCCCTTGACCTATATGAACAGCACAAGTGCGGGATATTGGCGACTCTTTGAAATGACAGTAGTGTGGGATCTCAGTGTAAAAACAACTATAGTAACCATCGTCTCTGTCCTTCAGGTCTGAGTGTGGAGCGTCCCTGTGCACGCTCGGTGAAGGTGGACTCCCCTTGTGTGTTCAGCCAGGTGTGTGTGAGAGGAGGCGTGGTCTGGGCTCTGAGCGAACACAAAGCTTTATTCTACAGAGAGGGAATGAATAGCTACTGCAACGAGGGAGAAGGCTGGAAGTATGACACTGTCAGGTACTACTATTACTGTAATACTGCTGTAATACCGCAGCCGTGGATAGAGGGGGATGTTTGACACCGTCAGGTGCTCCACTGTCTGACTGCTCCACTAGAGTGTACAAACATCTGGCTGCCTCTAACAAAACATTCTTATCTGTGGACATGTGTGAATGTGCCGGTTTATTGAGCCCTGTGTGTCTCAGTGAGGCTCAGGGTCTGGAGCTGATGTGTGTCGCCCTGGGAGAAGGAGGGACAGCCTGGGCACTGGACACCAGAGGCAGCCTTTGGTTTAGAACCGGCGTCTGTGCATCCAAACCGCAGGGAGACGACGACCACTGGTGGCAGGTAGAGAGAGGCTGACCTTTAACTTTGTCCCTTGTGATCTCAGCTCAGCAGCCTGTTTGTCTGTCTCTGTCAGATCAGCATCTCAGACTACGTGGTCTTCGATCAGGGCAGTTTGTTCCAGACACTTCTGCAGGCCACACAGAGTGTTGCCACGGTAACCAGAGCACCGGTGGAGCGGGTGGTGGCCTTCCTGTCGCAGTACTCCCAATGCCAGCCGAGTCTGGTCAGTGCCAACACCAGCGGAGTCTGGGTTGCATCGGGACGGAACCAGCTGCACGTGGCCCGTGGCAGTCTTGTGGGTCAGTTGAATCCAATAGTGCAGTGGAGTAGAGTTAGCAGTAAATTTAAGGTTTTTCATTTTCTCAGCTGCTGTATGTGTTTGGTTCCTTCAGGAACTTTCTGGCAGAACGTCGTTCCAAGAGGGACCGTCTCGGCCACCAGGTGGACCTTCATCACATCTTCAGCTGTGCCTCATAGAGAAGGTAACACATCTGGTCAGCAGGTAGTCATCTCAGTGCTGCTGCCCCTTTTCCTCAGAGTCCCTGAGCCTGCAGCTAGCCATCAGACTTCTGGACCAAAGTCACCAGCCATATATAATATTAAACACACCTCATCAAATCAAATCAAATCAAATTTTAATCCCCCTTGAGCAAGCACTTGGTGACAGTGGGGAGGAAAAACTCCCTTTAACGGAAGAAACCTCCGACAGACCCCGGCTCTTGGTGGGCGGCCTTCTGCCTCAACCGGTTGGGGTGAGTGGATAGAGGAGAGAGAGAAGAAGAAAAGCAACAAGACACAACAATCAAACACTGATCAGGTC